AACCATAAACCTAGTCTGCCCGCCTAGTCGGTGTGAAATGCCAGCCATTCTTCGCCTGCTGACCATGGCCAATCCGGCTATATTCAGGGTGCCTGCTCGTGCTATGCTTAGCACTCACCCCACATAATACGGGAAGCCTCAAAGCTCCATATCACTTGAGACCAACACTTAGCTCTGACCATTTCGGTCATGCGTCGCCCAGAATGGTTTCTTGCATATGTCCATGTATTTATTTTTCTGTCTGTCGGGTACTGCTCTGCTTCCAAAGTTAATTAGGCCACCCTAATTTAATTATGCAGCGCTTTTTTTTGGTTCACTTATGCATTTTTATATTCACTGAACATTGCTCTTTGGAGCAATATGCCCAGACAAATGTGAATACTACACATAAGAGTTTAACAAATAGGGTGTTGCAGTGATGAGTCCAGGGCTGGTAGGCCAGGCATATTGTAGCTGCCCAGATCAGGAGGTTTTGGAGCCAACTTATGGGTAGGGCTCTATCAGAATATTGAGAGGCTGATCATTTCATTCACACGCACACGTGTGTGTAATTGTGATTATGCCACAGTGAAAGGCAAAGAGTATATGAAACCACTTTTGGGTCTCCCCTAGGTCAGCTCAGCCTTAAATTAATTACTGGTGTGGTATGTAAACATCAGCACCCGGGAGACAAAGTTAGGTGGGCGTGGTGCTGGTCCACGACACACCCTCGTGTGCTGTGCTGGCCTTAAGAGGCGCTCACAAGCAGTAGTTGGCTCAGCAGTCTGTAAGATGTAATAAAGAATCTCTGCATGTGTGTGTGAGTGTTAGTGGCGGTGCAGTGGGTAGCGTACTATTCCATGAACTAGGAGATATTAATTTGATTCCTGGCCACAACTAACATCAGTGGCAATTTTATGATCCAGTCCTGGGCCTCCCGTAGGTTGATTTAGCTTTAAATGAGTACCTGGCGGGAGGCAAAGGTGGGTTGGTGCTGAACACTCCACCACCTCTTGTGCCGTGTCAGCCTTAATAGGTGCTCGCTAACAGCACATGCCCCCAACAGTCAGTATATGGTTACTGGGGGGGGGGGGTATCTATGTCCTGTATGTGCAAATGGACAGGCTGCAAAGCCTCGCGTGACTAACTGTTCGGCAGATTAATCACTGCCGGAAAACTGCTCGTGATCCCGACTACTGCCCGTGACAATGCAGGATCATTTATAACGGAGAGCGCTTTGAGCAAACGCGAGAGATCTGCGCGACATTCCCAATTCTTACAGGTGGATCGTTTGGCACTGAGCCACGTGTATGTGTCTGCTCGAGGCTCGATCTACCTTCATTCAGATCAATGTCACCCGCTCGGCGTGACCTCTTGGGCTGCACCGCCTGTACCTGCCGGGAGTCAACCGCCAATGCTGCGGTGCGTGCAAGCGTGCGTCGTAGCGGGAGTTACGGTAACGTTCGGAGAAAGCCGAGCTTTAACAAACGCCGTGCCCCCCACCCCCCACCCCCCCTGTAACCAATCTGCAATGATGCAGGTGTCTGCCGTCTCCCGTTATCTTCATGATACTGTACTGTTGTTGTTGTTTTTTTTTGGGGGGGAGGGAGGTTTCAGAATGTGCGGCTAAAGTCGTGGGCGAAGAAAGCGTTACGCGATGTGTTTTCCGTGTTTAAGCCAGCGTCTAAAAAAAACGGATCCTATTAATTAATTTTCCATATATACACAGACGGCATACGTCTACCGTACTCCAAGATCAGACTCTGTGGGGAAAGGGACTCTATTAGTAGTCTGTGTTTTTACTGCGGGTGGCTGTGAGTTCCATGTATGGGCATTGTGAAGAGCGGCTGTATCACTGAGCCAGTTACAACATACGATGACAAAGTCGTTGGACGAATGCATCAATTGTTTAGGAGGGGTGGGGGTGGTGGGAACCCACAAAACAAGCACCGATTGATTTTGCGAGATGTGGGAAGCTTTCGTTTCATAAACAATTCCTCGGGCATCCCTCACTGAGCATTTTGCCGCGTGTGGCCGTTTACACAGCCCAAAAAAAACCCAGCACGGCTATGCCGGTCAAAACGAAACGAATCGTTTAAAGGACGTCAAAAACAACAAAGACGCGCTTTGATTTCACTCGTAAAGAGGTCGCACCTCATTTGTTGAAGGTTCGACCAAATCCCGTGGCACCCTGGCAACACGCGCGTACGACGCTCCCGGACATCCTTCAGCTGCCGACACAAAACCTCCGTGAGCGTGAGAACGCCTTTCAAAACAAACAAAACAAACAAACAAAAATCACCGCTTTCTGGTCGCTCTCCGAACACACTCCACCCCACCGCCGATCCCCTGTAAGGCCCCCGACGAAACCACGGGCGTCCGAACAAAGCATTGTCCGGGAGCTCGCCTCTCGGCGCGGCACCACGCCGCTATCGGGTTACTTTGTTGATGCCCGGCTTTGCCAGCGCGCATCGGCGTTATGGGCACTGGCACGTGGAAACTCGTCTGCTCAGGGATTCCTCGAACGCCCCTTCGTCCGATGCTTGACGGTCCAGACAGCGCCGTGAGCAAGGCGACGCCCGCTTTCTAACAGCGATTATTATATTTCGATTTGAAGCTTTCGTGACTGCAGGGATTCATCTTCTTTGGTTCTTTCGGTAAAGTCACCACGTAGAATGAGAACAACATAATAAAATAACAGAATACAATTCTCACGACGTTTCGGCCACAACGCGATTATTACGTATCCCGCGTCGCGTTGACGGTTACTGCTGGGATCAGCGGGTTCCGAAGGGGGAGGGAGGAGTGGAGGGTCTTGGTTTATTCCCAAGAATGTTTGCGGATGACTTTTCTTAAGCGTCACCAAACTGAACGAACCACCAAGGCAACAACTAAAGTGCATTATTATTATTCTATCTAAGTGCATTGTTTCTTTCCCCTGCCGTAGGAATGTGGAATTTCCACCACCGGATCAGTGCCATAATTGAGAGATGCTCTCTTTTAGTTTTACTCGTGCTGTAATCTTGACGTGCATTAGACATTGTTTGACATGCCTTGCAAACCTTAGGAGCCGTCCATTAATGACGTCACGCGATTTTGAACGATTTTTTTTACCCCCCCCCCCCTCCTCGTCACATGGCGTCACAAAAAGTCAGACCCCCCCCTCAAATATGACGTCACAAAGCTCTGCCCCCGCCCCCCCCCCAAAACCATATTTCCATTTTGAAAATAAACCATGCTTCAAATCGCTTTAAACTATTGGCATTGTAGTGCGTATTAAATGTGGCGCTGCACTCTGATGTTGTGATGTTGTAGGTGAAAACATTTATCGAAAAATATATTTAATTAAGTAGAACGTGTTGTCGAAATGTATTTAAAGTTGCGCATTTTGATGTGACGTCACATTTGTCAACCCCCCCCCCCCGCCCCTCGTCACACATCCTCACAAATGTCTGACCGACCCCTAGGTGCGTGACGTCATTTATGGACGGCCCCTTAAATGTAATAGTCTCCAGCCAATTTTCATGGCAGACGGCATGATTAATGTGTTCCTTCGAGCGGCGAGTGCATGCAGTGCTCGAATGGAATTGCATTTGCGCATTATTGCATTTACAGTCGATTGTGCTGTGCAATTCGCCTGTGATGTCTCTCCGAAGAGCACGAGATAAGAATGTAAGCCAAGGCTTGTGAGTGCGGAGCGAGGGCAGGGAAAAAGTTCCTGTCAGTTTTCGTTAGACCCCCGCAAACAACGAACGCGGATTAAGTCGCTCGAATGAAACGTTTAGATTTACTTCCGCTGCGGCGATCAAAGTAGATGTGGTTCATCTGAATGGTCAGCTCGTGCTCACGCACTTGCACACAAAGACGCGCACACATTTAAAACGACCTTTGTAGCGCCGTGGCCAAGCAATGTGTATTAGTTACCCAGTTATACTGCGCTCGCATATTAACTCGAGCTTTTGTATGAAGTAAGGGAAGTGGTGCGATATGGAAAAATAATAATTTCCATTAATGCAAATATACTAGAGCGTTTGGTAAAAACGTTGCAGTGTAGTATTGGTCTGAAGAGCATTACAATGGAAGTTTAGGGATAGATTTGTAATTCAGGCATATAGCACGTCATATTATAGAGAGAGAAAAAAAACACCCCATTATGTGCTGTGCATGCATTATTAAAGGATTTAACCAAACCGAGAATTCAACAATTGATCCAATGAGACACATGGCAACTTTACTCAAAATGTCAACACATTCCAGGTGTTCGAATAGGAACTGGAACATGGACTATTTGACTTTGAGAATGCTTTATGGGCCCATAAAGTAATAGGTTAAGAGGATTGTTATTGGTCTAAGCATGCAATCGGGAGGAGCAATGGACGGCTCAGGAGTAGCCGAGTTTGAATTCCAGCCATGGCTGTACCAGTGAAGGGGTTCTGTACCCCACCACCCTCACCAACATGAACCCTCACTCGCGTGGTGAAGTATGGTCAAATATCGATTTAAAGCCTTCGTGACTGCAGGGATTCATATTCTTGGTTCTTTCGGTAAAGTCACGTAGAAAGGAAATAATAAAATAATAAAAATAAAACATAAAAAAATAAAATTCCCACGACGAGAATTTTATTTTATTATTACGTTATATTTTCGGCCACAACGCAATCAGCCGTCCTCAGGTGACGAACAGAGTTGTGGCCGAAAATTAAACATAATAAAATAAAATTCTGAGGACGGCTGAAACGTCGTGAGAATTTTATTTTATTACGTTTTATTTGTATTACTTTACCGAAAGATCCAAGAATATGGTCAAATAACCCCACAAATGGCGATGGTGTGGGGAGGGTTTCCATCCTGAAGTGGATTGACAAAAGGGCTTTAGTTAATGTCAGCGTTATTTGAATGGTCGAATAGAGTGAAATGCTCCACTGTCGTGCTCCAAATGCCAAGACCGGAATATGAGGACGCTTGAGAATGTTTGAGCTGCTGACGTTTGCGATGCGCTAAAACTCACGAAAGACACGAGCTGCTGGTGCAATCTATTTATTTGTTAAAAACATTTAAAACACACCATTTCTTGAACAAACTACTGTGGACCTGTACAATAAGCCTTCAAAATCAGGCTAAAAAAATTAGTCTGGTGGAGTACGCCAGACACGAATGAACAGCTACGTTACACAGTGCAACCAAGCACCATTCGAGGCTTGCGTTTGTAAATCAATCGGCATATTCACAGAAAGATGCAATCGTGAAACATATAATTTCACTGTACACAATCGACGTAGGTGTATGTACACACACACAGTAAAAAGACATGTTTTTTCTTCTTCAAAACAAAAGTAACTGCATTGTTTAGATAATGCGTTGTGGTCGAAGGTTTCAAACTGGCTCGAGCCAGTGTGACCTTGGCGATTTCGTTGAGTTTATTTTTGCCTATTTCACCCTTTTTTTTTCAAAAGGCCCTCTCGGTACAAACATGCACGGGCACGTGGGTGCTAACACAATCCAATGCAGAAAAAAACAAAAAGCACCCTCACCGATGTGTGGAGGTGCACCCAGACTGGCACGATATCCTTACCGGTGTTTATAGTGTCATAGCATAAAGCGTTCAGTTTATTGATTTCTATTATTTTACGTTAATCCATGTGAGTGCGATGTCTGGCCCCACGACACAACAACCTTCAGTAGATATGTTCGTGTGGTGTATTCTGTGCCACAGACTTATTTCTATTACATGCGAAGCGACTACAATTCGGCAAATCAAGTGCACCATATTGGAATATAAAACAAAAATAACGAACCAAAACTTAGCAAGCAATGTGTTTTTAAAATTACTTACTGTGTTGCGTTTCTAAGCCGCCTGTCCCATTGTAAGTACCAGTCAATGAGCACCTTTAAAATTGGTTAATTTAAGCATTAAGACCATTTCTTGGGAACAGTGGGCAAGCACCCATTTCTTGGAGTCTAAATACAAAAACGTACAGCTTGTAATCTGTTCACCTTCTACAGGTCTACCTCTAATTAATGTTGTCAAAGCTACTGTGAAAACATCATTTTAGTTCATTTGGACATAATTAACATTTGCATCGTCCAGTCATATTTCATCTTTTACCATGTTCCGAGATGGATTTTACGTTATGGGCACATAATAATTAATGTAACTTGTTTTCACTTATATTAATGGTAAATTCATGGTAAATTAGTGGACACTTAGAGTCAGTTTCCCTCTGGGATTTTTCTTTCATTAATCTTTTGCTGTTCGTATTTTTTTTTTACTATTTGAGTACTGTAAAAATCTGCATCTTTATTCATACTGGAGGAATACAATGAGCTATAAAGCTATTTTTCACAGATGAGTAACAAATTTAAACCCTGACTGCCTTAATAACCATCACACTTTAAAAGAATCAAGGTTTTGTTATCAAGTATATTTCATATCATTAATACATTATTTAAAAGTAATTTGTGTGAGAAATGTAAATTGTATTGATTTTCAGAGGAGTCAATATATGTTTTATTCCAAATATTGCAGTCTGTATTTTGTAGAAACTATAACCAAGGACTAACCTCTTGAAATACTATTTTTACAACAAAAAAAATAAAACATGAAATTAATTTTTGTATACATTTTGAAAATAAAAAATGGAATTAAAAAAATCCAGTGCAATCGTTAAAACTAAATAGTCTAAACGCCCTAGAAACGTACACACATATGTAACAAATAAAAACAAGGCACAGTAACAAATGATGAAACGTTTAGGGGGAACAAACCCCCATGTTTTGCGTCTCACGTTACTTAAGTAAATTGCACCTTTTAAAATAAGATGGTTCAAGTGTTTTTTTCTGTCTCTTTTACAACTTGTATTTTAAAAGTCAACAAAAAAAAAGATGACACAAACTAAAGCTGTTAATTATGGTTATTTGATATGTTGCCAAAAACCACTTGTTAGCAAGTCACCTTGTTTATGAACAGATTACTTCTCGTCTTTTTGTTGTTGTTGTTGATTTGACGCCTTAAAAATAATAAGTTATTTCTTCATGATACGATATATGCAGTATCCCCAATAGCCAATAATTTGTCTCCATTCTCTCACACCTCGGGGGAGAGAAGGAAAAAAACACCCAATTCCAACAAATCCCTTCCCATGCCGTTCCAGCGATGGTGTCAACGGTTCCCTCACGTCTCTTTTTCTTGCCGTAGAATGGAAAGCAGCTCACTGTTACGCTGTATAATTGTGCAATCTCAATGACGCGAATCCTGCCGCGTGATGACGCAGCGAACGAAGTTGGCCGACGTTTCTCCTCGGAGATGTCGTTTGCTTAGCAGGTGCACGTTGTGCAGTGTTCTCTACGCCTCTGTGTTTTTGCTTTGTAGCATTGCCAAAACAGAAGCAGCATTTCAGTGAATTTCTACACCTAAATGTTTTTTTTCTGTTTAAAAAACCAAAAAAAAGCAGCTGTACTTCTTCAGCACTGGGTGATGTTGAAAAAACAGAAGCACAGTCATGTGAATATTACAGTCTTGCGTGCAACTTGTGGTCTTGAGTGATTATGCAAAGTGCAGGTTTTTAACACCTGAAAAAAAGCAGTTGAGGTAGAACTTAAAAACCTCTGTAAGGGCCACTCACTATGCAGCTGAGAAGACTCTTACTGTAATCCTGTGGTCGACAACTTGGCAGATGCTACATAAACACAGATAGGCAGCGCTTTAAGTCCTCAGTGAAACAAGATGTACACGGGCAAGTGGTTATTACGTGGACAATGAGAGGACAACAATAATCGATTCTCCAAGAACGAATGCCACTAGCGCATTTTGGTTGGGCCATTTTGTTTTTTATCTCAGCATCTCCTCGGGGTGTGCGCGCCAGCCACCTCAGCTGATGAGCTTTGGTAGGCAGGTCCTCTGAGGGTACATGAGGCCCTCCACGTCCTCCGAGTGGATGATCTTGATGCGGGGCCGGTTTGGGGAGAGCGTCTCGGGGAAGAGCTTGGTCACGATCTCAGTCTGCACGTAGGAGGCCACGGGCAGGTACTTGACGGTGACCGTCTTCTCTGTGAGGGCCGGCGCCGGCATTGGCGTGGCAGCCGCCGTGGGGTTCAGGGGTCGCCGGCGCAGCCAGGGGTGCTTGAGGGCCTGGCTGGGCGTCAGGCGCGTGGCTGGGTCCCAGTCCAGACACTTCTTGAGGAAGTCTATGAAGAGGTGGTCATCGCAGCCTGCAGGGGCAATGGGAAACAAAGCGGTGTTAGGTTTGTTGACGAAATCGTCGATAGTGATGTACGTCAACGCAGCGTTATTTTATTTTGCTCAACGATGACGATGGGTGGACGGATATCTTCAAGCGTGACGGCAGGTTACGGCTAACTCAATCGAACATCGAAGTGTGACTGACTATTTATGAGAGAAAATTAACAAGTCTGAATGAAGACGAGGACTGTAATAATTTAGCATTGTTATTCGGCACTGCAATGCACCGATGAGGAAGACCAAAACACGTAATTGGCTGTATGTCTATATAAAACTTTACTGAGTTTCACTGATTAGCTGCCATGATAATATTGGGCGGAAGGCGAGAGGATTAGTCAGATTAGATTAGGGAGAGAGGACATATATATGACTGCTTTGGTCGCCAGGACTAACAGTAACACTCGATTAAACATTGCGCAGGCAGTCGTCGACTAGACGGAACGCTCTGGCTAAAATAAAAACTGCTGACTGAATGAACACGAGCGATGAGCAAGGGCGCAGGGAAGGGCAGAGAGGCGCGCTGGTCTCATTGATTGGTCGTGCTTCTCACATGGCAGTGTTTACGTGCGTGTGGCCCTGCTGACAGCACACGCGCCAGAGCCCCCCGTTTAATAGTGCACCAATCGTCATGCCGTAACATTTTCATGGATTTGTAATGAGATACATTTGTAAACGAGTGGCAGATTGTACAACTTAATTGATTTTTTTTTTAATAAAACACGTTCCTGGCAGACATTCAACAAACAGTGCATATAAACGCGTACAATTTACAAGCATTAGTGTATATGCGTGTACATTTTTACGGGTGAGATTTGTTTACGATCATTGCCACTCTACTTGACATGTTTTATCTTTTTACAAAAACAATCTGCGCTGGATATCATGAATATATTAACTTGCTTGGAAAACTCAACTTTGGTTTAAGCAAAACGTTTTCACTGCTGTTCAGCAAATTACGTGTAAAATAATTTGTATGCATTTCAAGCTTTACACCGAAAAAATACAATGTACACGAAGTTATTGTAGTACTGTGTACATAGTCATGTAGATATGTATGGGGAGGCCTTCAGCCAGCAATAAAATGACAAAGGGATATTTTAAAAAATAACACATATTAAGTGTAACGATTGCAGGGTTTGTGTGAATTGAAATACATGTGGTGAACGTGTACTTTAATAACCATTCTCAAAGGACCTTACTCATATGTTGGACAGTGGCACATGTCCTGCAGTTGAAACAGCCATGAATATATAAAAACGTGGAAACCTCAGAAAATGTCATTGGTGATACAATTACGATTTTCTGTATAATTGGGTAACACTGTAATTGCGCTAATAATAGTGACGTGCGATAATAACAGCTGAGACGCATCTGGCTGTTATTTCCATTTCCCTGTGTCACACAGCCATGCCTCACGACTCTCAATGGGCTCCAAGATGAGGCTAATTAAACAATTATTGGTCCCCAGCATTTCAAAACTGTACACGTCCCTCCTTGACGCAATGGAAGCGCCTGCACATTTTAGAAGCGTCTGCTGAATTCTGTGAGCGGAGCACATTCTGTTCCGAAAAGTCTACCTCTTCTGAATACCAATCATTTCAAATGGCAGATGCGTGTCCAAGGCTAGTATTTAATGAGCAATTCAAAACATCCGTGTATGTTTCGTGAATTTCAATCACCCTCAGGTGTAGCGACAAACAGCGCTTACGCTTATTTAAACCCATGCTGCAAAGCTGCCAGCTGAAATCAATCTACGTATACGCACTTCGTAAAATCAGAGAGCCATGTGTGCGTCATTCCTCTAAATGATTTAAGGGAGGCCTTTTTAGTTATTTGTAGTTATCAGAGAACACACTGTTCGGTATGGAGCCAGGGGCAATGCATGGTTCGAATTTGTGATATCCATCTCGGGGCGATGTATCTATTGCTTGGGCTCGCATCAAAGGGAAACACCTGACTGCAAGATATCCCAACAACTGCAGGATCACAGCTATCTTGAGATAAAGACTGCGGGATTAACGTCGGTCTTGTCAGCCTGACATGAGTGAGTTTGTTTCATGAGAGCCTAAAATTGAGCGCAGCTGGATTGCAGTGCTGAACAAATCACTTACACACAAATATTCTGGTCTGCATAGCTTCAATTACCAGCTTGATAACACATTATGATGTATAACTTGAAGTCAGTCATGTCAAAATCGGCACGTTTTCCTTGACGAATTTACAAAAGGTAATTTCTGCACACAGAGCCGTGGAGAGAATCCGTTCATTCACGAGAATTGGTCCCTGCGTTAATCACATTTGTGATGCATTTTAAAGATACTCTGCAGCTTTCACCACACCGCACAATCGTGTTAGCGGTGGCTTCATGCGTGTTAATTCATAATGTGAAGTGAACTCGCTTTGATCCTGTTTTTTTTACTGTAAAATAACTTTGCCAGGGGGGGAAGCAGATGACTTAAATCCACAGAGACAGGGGCGTTGGCAATTCCTACATGGAGACTTCACTGTCAGGAATGTTCTGTGCTCGACACACACAAAAAATAGGACACGGGGTGACGTCATGTACAGAGAGAAATAGGAAATATTTAATTGTTTATTGTAGAGATAGTGATGCTACTAATTTACAACCATCTGTTATAATACACTACTGGGCTAAGGCTTCTTCATGCCTTGTTAATTCGGTTGTTTTACTTCACCACGCTGGTCAGTGCGTGTTGGTGAAGGATTGGACATGTAAATGCTTCTGATATCACCTCGCCACTGATGTGAACAGTGGTGAAAGATCAAAACGCAGGTCTCTGGATTGACAGCGCAATGTGCTAACCATTGTGCCACTACTCCACACTATGCCCCTTGTTTATTAATGAAAGCCTCATTGGGTCTTAAAAACTCTTTATTTTTTTATTCAATTCACGAGTTAGTTGGACTATGGGAGAAAACTAGAATACCTAGAAAACCATGCATTCAAGGGGACAACATTCAAAAAGTATTTAAATGTCCTGGCCACCTCACAGGCCAAGTTTTTTATTCATTTCATGTAACTTTTAGTCACTGTTATGAATAAAAATTCTCCAAATCAAAAACCTGGCAATAAATCGCAAGATCAAACATCCGCTAAAGCAGAGGGCATGTTTCGTTTTTTGGGGGGATGCAGTCTTCGTATGTGTGCGTTACTTCGACGTTACTCGACGTTTAATCACGTGTGTGTGTGTACGCATCAATATCTATGGGACCTTTTTGCCAGTATCATAATTATTTAAAAAAATAAGAATAAGACACTATGAGACCTCCTTTGCCAGTAGCAAGATATAATAATAGGTTTTTACCCTTTTATCTGGCACCAAAACTGACACCTTTATACAAGGGATCATGGCGTCATCTGGTCCAACACCAGTGGAGACTAGGCTCTAAGAAAAGCCGTCTGGGGTGTGGACCAATCAAATTCAAGGACAGTGCATATCGTTATCAGAGTTGTCTCTTTTTGTTTGCACTTTGACTGCTTGTGTTGTGGTTATTGCAAACATGATCTCTTGCATAAAGGTGTCAGTTTTGGTGCCAGATAAAAGGGTAAAAACCTATTATTATAATAATAAGAATAAGCTTTCACCTTTCTGGCAATAAAATAGGCGTTAAGATGTTCAAACGCCCAATAGTTACCTATTGCGAGGTATGAGGTATGCATTAACCACACGAACAAGTGTGCTCTGATTATAATATATGGATTGGTTTTGAAACCGATTGGCCTACACCAGAGACAGTGTGTATCAAGTTTGTCAACGTCAGCATTAGGAAGACAGGCATCTGGGTGTGCATGGCAGTGGCCCACCACCATCTCATCCGTCACACCTGTCATAATACACGCTGACTAGCAACATCTATCCCACCAGACTACACGGCCAGACAGGAAATCTTTAATATGCATGTATATGCTGCCCACACATTATTGTGGGACTGCCCATATACTGAAACACTACAAATCTTTAACGCGCTGTACATAAAATATAATTTTAAAGATGTGAGTGCGTCCTGAACTGTAATGTTTGCTGTGGAATCTTGGCCAAAACGACATGAAGCATTGATCGAAATCTGCTCACAACACAAATGTAATTCCTCAAGAGAATAAAACATCACCTCGCATATCACAAGTGACATGATGATAAAAGACACGACGATAAGGGGTAGGTTAAGAGAAGAAGCATCTGAGTGCTAACTGACATATAAGAAGCCAAACTAAGTTGATACGGGCATTGGGTGAGAAAGGGTTCAGATCAGATTTTTCACGAAGTATTTTGAAAAAAATGAAGAGGGCAAGGGGAATTGAGGGCAACCAAAATTAACGTGGCTGGACTGTGAGGCAGAACCTGAAGAAAATTGGGGTGAGATTGGACCAAGGAAGGGGCACTGCAAGAGACTGGAATAGGATGGACGAAGATGACAAAGAGCCCGACCCCAGCTAACGGCAATTGAGATGGAGAAGAAGGAGAATATCGTGTCGCATGCCTGCGTGCAAATAGAACGCAATATTATTCTCGAACTGTATGTGAAGAAAACGCACAGATGCAATTCTACTTGTATGCTGCATGTTCGGCGAATATTGGGTAGAAAACGATTAAAATAAAATAACTTTATTGGTACCGAGGCTCCCACTAAGGCCATGCGGGAGGGCGTGCGGCACAGTTTGGCGCCAGCTATCGTACAGCGTGGTCGTGTCGCTAGCCCTGCAGCTCGCGGGCGTCTCGGAACAGGACAGGGTTAATATCATGTCACCGCGCTCGCACGCTTCGCCGCTACGTAGATGCGCGCGACCTCACTCACCCTTGAGGGCCGTGGTCCAGTCGCGGCTGGAGGGGGGGCCGCGCAACTTCCCGCGCCGCGTGCGTCCCCCGTTGAGCACGACGGAGCCGCCGGGCAGCGTGGTGACGGTGCAGTAGCGCGGGTGGCCCAGCGAGCTGAAGAACTGGCGCGCGCGCTTGCTCTGCTCGAGGAGACGCGCCGGCGGGGAACCCGTCAGCTCCATGGCGCAGGCCAGCTGGTCGCCCTCATCCTCGCCGGGCAGCAGCGGGCTGCCCGTGAGCAGCTCGGCCAGGATGCAGCCCAGGCTCCACATGTCGATGGGCAGGCCGTAGCGGCCGCCCAGCACCACCTCGGGTGCACGGTAGAAGCGCGACTGGATGTAGGTGTACACCCGCTGGTGCTCGTAGCAGCTGGAGCCGAAGTCGATCACCTGCGGGGCAGGGGTGGGGTTTCCGTCGCACGCACGCACACGAAAGTCCGATTAGCACGGTTGGCTACGTACGGTGAAAAATAAGTTCAACGTACATATGTGCATGCATGGGCTGCGGTGGTTAATAACGAGAAAAGCTGGGATGTCTAAACGTTTAAGTGATCGATTATCCGTCCGCTGATTTGTCGGTCAGATGGCTAGAGGGGAGTCGTGGAGAGAAAAATATTCGCCTCTGTTCCCGTGTGTGCCACTGCATGGAGGCAATGGGTGAGGCTTGATGATGTTATCACGATAATCAGCTGTGCCAAGGTGGGTGTTGCTTGCAGGGGGTTTCCCACATTTGGCGGGCAGGATATGGTCCTGAGTACAAACAAAGAATTCTGCACCACTTCTGAAAAAGAAACTGCGTGATAAACTTCACGAAAGGCCTCATGCAGTTCTGAGCCCTTGCTTTTGGCTTGCTCATTGTTTTGTCGGTGTTGTTAAAGTTCTAGAAGCTCCCACATGATCCAGCACAATACCTGTGGCCGGAATGCAAACAAAAAACATAACTCTGATAATGTTATGCACTGTCCTTGAAATTGATTGGTCCACACCCGAGACAGCTTTCCTTGGAGCCTAGTCTCACATGGTGTTGGACCAGCTGACGCCAAAAGGCGCACAGATAAAAGGGTAAAAAAAAGCAATTATCACATTTTGCTACTGGTTTATCCCAGGATGTTTCTGTTGCGCGTCATCGTCGCTTTAAGATGTTTCTCTGTTCATATTTTGTTTGTTGCGGTTGCACCCGACTCAAGAGCCGCATGGCTCACAGGGCTATACGGAATAAATGAAACTTGAAACTTGAGAGCAGCAAAAAAAATATAAAATAAAAGAATACGGCGGAGTGGGATTAAGTCACCTGCACAGGCTTGCAGGTGACTCAATGTTAGCCGAAGGAGGATTTGAAACACACCCCCACCCCCCGAGACAATTTGGCACAGAAGAGATTGGCAGCGTCATAAAAAATGGGAAACACGGTGAACAGCTGATGAATCACGAGGAGCTGACGTGGATCGTCTGCATTTCTAACCACCGCAAAAAAAAAACACTCTTTCAACACACCTGCATTAATCACAGCTGGATGTGCACGGTTAATACGGCAATGTGAGGATGTCAAGAACTCTAAAAGATTGGGTATTCGTCGGTTTGTCCAGCTGCACAATTGAAATGCTAAATTCACACCTAATGCACCTAACAATATAAAGAATATGCATCTCATGTCCATGTAAATTTCGGTTAGATAGTTCAGTGCTTGCTAATACTGATATAAGATTTTTAAGATGTACGGCAGCATTAAGCACTTAATGTCTTGTATTACAAAAACACCATTACATGTTTTGTTAGAATATTTTGATGAATAATTCATTTCATTACAGCCCTTTGCCAATCCATTACTGTGCCATGTCGGTCACAGGGGTCATTTTCACCATATTTCACCGCTGTGTCGGTTTGGGTGGGTGAAGTGGCTTTGGCTGGGAATTGACCTCAGGTCACGAGGTTCATAGCTGAGTGTGATAACTAGTGCCTGTAACACTCCAGCCCTTGATCTGATTAAACAGAGATGTATTCCTCAATGTATGTGACACATACTACAGGTGATTCAATAACCCAATGAGCAACATGATTTTCCAGTTTCTGTTGCTAAAGCCTCTTGGCAATATTCTCAACATCCGTGCTTTCAAAAGCCTTAATTTGTGGTCAGTGGTGTTCTTGTTTGTACGGTTGCAGAATAAAGTGAGTTGAAAGTTGTGTTGTATTATGGACAAATGACCTTGAAAATGCCATTTGGAGACACACCACGTTTATCCGAGATAACCAGAAAAGACCCCAGTAACGTAGGACTTGTATGAAGTATAAGATAACCTATTGAAGTGTACAGTCTCGACTGACGGTACAGTATTATTTCGGCAGTACAGGTGTAAATGCACTAATGAATCTTGAGCATCGTTGCAATCTCCCAATGTGGAAAAAAATGAATGACTGCTGGGTCCCAAGACACTTATTTAATCCGTGGCTCATATAGATGACGCAAGTGGGTTAAGGAAAATTTGCAAAAATTCTGTAATGTAACCTGGGCTCGCATGACACCCGACTAATTTTCGGCCGTGCCGCGTTCATTGGCATTCAACCCCGCAGGCAACGCTGACGTACCTCACTATTAGTCATTCCATCTGGGATGTCAATAAGACGGAATAAGAGGCAAGGAAAATTTTATTCAGATGGCCAAAGGTAATTTGAATATTACATCATCCCATTATATTTTCTTCTGTTTTGGTCCAGTCATCGGTTGTGGTGTCGATAAAGTTTCCTCTATGATGCATACGAATATAAATACAATTAAATACAAGATCCGGTGAAATGTACTTAATTCTATATAATCCAAATTGTATTGAATTGAATTAATTTTTCACATCTCATTAAAAAAATGCTTTTTGATCTAGAATTTAATAAGAATAATCATTTCTTGACTTAAAGCTTTCGTGACTCATATTCTTTGGGTCTTTCGGAAAAGTCACGTACGACGTTTCGATCGCAACACAAGCGGTCGTCATCAGGAAAATGATGACGACCGCTTGTTTTGCGATTGAAACATCGTTGTTTTTTGTTATTTCTTTGAACCTATCTACGTGACTTTACCGAAAGACCCAAAGAATAATAATCACTTCCACCTCAATGTCTTTCCCAAGCCTCAGGACTCCTTTTAAGGAGAGTTCTGTTTTGGATACTTGTCCACGTTCCTACTAGTTTTGCTTGAGTACTCAGACCAAACTCATGTGTATGGTGACTTAAGCCTGAAAGTTGGCAACCCACTTTGCATGGCACCATTATAGACCACCCTAATGCATTTGTGTGAGATTAATGCTTTTGCCAAGAACATCTGGTAACCCCAGCAGCATTTTTATAACAAGCCTGACTTGGCTGATGTGCTCCAGAGGGTTTAAACCAGTCGAGTTTGCTTGCTTGAACAAATGCTGTTGAATAATATTGGTCTGAAAAGCCAAGAGGTCAATGGACGAAAAACTATTTTTTTATTTAATTATAGGCATTGCTTTGAAATAATTCCAACACGTGGTGTTGGTACTGGTGGCTTAGACAGCACCGCTGAGATTTTGGGTATCAGGCCCTGTGTCTCCGTACGTGTGCGTGAGACACACGCACACGTACGGTGTGCAGTAAATATCGCTACTAGGGACACAAAGGCGGTCGGGCGTGGTGCTGGCCATCCACGCCCCTTGTGTGCCTTACCGGCCCTCATAGGCGCTACTCGCTAACAGAACTTTCCCCTACAGCGTGTTAAGGCTATATGGATGATGTTTGTCTTTTGTACGTCTCACTCTCCATCTCAGGGAGCTTCGTAATGCCTGAGCACCGCACGCCGCACCTTGATGCCGCTGCGTCCCTGCTGGCGGAGCAGGATGTTCTCGGGCTTAAGGTCGCAGTGGATGATGCGGTTCTTGTGCAGCGCGTTGAGGCACAGTAGAATGGAGTGCGCAAACTTGCGCACCACCTGCAGGCTGAAGCCTTGGAACTTGTTCTTCTTGATGAGCTCGTAGAGGTTCATGCTGAGCAGCTCGAAGGTCATGCAGATGTGGTTGCGGAAGTTGAAACTCTCGAGCATGTGGATGACGTTCATGGTGTTTTCCTTGTCCTGCTTCTTGAGGTGCTCCAAGATGCGGATCTCCTCGGCCGCCTGCCGGTGGAAGCGCTTCTCGTTGCGCACCATCTTGAGCGCCACGTACTGGTGCGTCCGGTGGTCGTAGGCCTTCACCACCTGGCCGAAACTGCCCTTGCCGATGACGCGCAGCACCTCGTAGCGGTAGGCCACGTGGTCGTGCGGCACGTGGATGTACGAGCCCTGCTCGTCGTCGAAGCCGTTGTTGTTGACGCCGCTCAGCGTCGCCTGCCGCTTCTTGGCGCTGGGCCCCACGAAGTACACCTCGTGGTAGTTGAATATCTCATGGTGCTCGAACATGCTCAGTCTGTGCATGTACTTGCGCATCGCCTGCTCGGGCGACATGGCCGTCGAGTGGGGCTTCGGGGAGCCGTCGTCCGGACGCGGGGACCCGGGCACCGCGTCGTGCTGCGTGGCCGCCGCCGCCGCCGCCGCCCGCAGGCAGCTGCCGAGCGCCGGCCGCTCCATCTGGAGGCTCTTGAGGCCATTGGCGAGGCTGCCGAGGTCGGAGGCGAGCAGGCCGCGCTTGGCATGCGCGTCCTGGTACAGCGGCTGGATGTGCACCGGCCGCGGCATGCCGGAGAACATGTGATCCGTGAGCCTCGCGTTGTTATTGTTGCGGCCAACCTGTGGGGAGGTCGAGAGAGGGATGGCAGAGGAAAGGACGATTTAAATCGAGCCCTGTAATGGTAGCTGTCCATTTAGACGGTTTAATTTATTTCAAACTAAAGTACACGATGCCCCAGGTGTCTTGTGACCCCCATTTAATTCTCTAAAACTTTAGATTTTTTTTAAGTAAGGTGTATTTAACGCACAAATGAATATGCAATGGAAAAATATGTCACGCGTCATTTAATTGGGGGTCACAAGACAACTGGAACACCCTGCACTGAACTTTTTTTTGCCACGTAAAGCCCAAAGAGTTATATAACTGTTTTTCACAAGCGACTTGGCCACAAGTGATAGCTCAACGAAGTGGCTTATCACGTGGATATATAATTGCACCTAAATTTTTTTTTTACGCACACTTCTAAATGTGAAGGGTAAAACTGGAGGACACGGAGATAAATCCACGAGATCACAGGGAGAGAGACACGCAAACTTCAAATATACAGGCATTACGTTCGGGGTCGAACCCACAACCTCCTCCATACCAACCAATGTAGTGAACATTTCGCGACCGTGGCACACATCTGGATCAAGCATGAGATGTTAGAGACATTCGTTTTTATTTGGGGGAATTTTAGCTTTGAGTACAAGAGGACATTGTGTAAAGAAGCCACTAATACAAGGAGATACAAAAAAAATCCACTCGGATACTTTAGTAACAAAATTATTCCGACCGCTTTATATGTCACATCTTTGCCCGTTCTTTGATCATCATCAGCCATGGTCAATCCACTGCTGGATGAAGGCTTCCAAGCCACCACGCCTCTTGATCAAGCGAAGCAACAGCCAACTTGCCACCCGTGCGTGAGCTGATTTCATCGCTCCATCTCCTCGGTGGATTTACATTAGATGCATTATATTCATTTTGGATGACACTATAACGATATTAAACATCGGCCTATACCCCTTTTTATATTGCCTAGGGTACCACTCAAAACGTAAGTTTGCTATTATGAAGGTCACTGCTTCCTCGATGTATTAATATGCCTTTTAAACTGAACCACTGACAATTCCTCAATATTTACTGGCTGTTCAATGGAGTTGAAAATTGCATTACAGTCAATCTATACATAGGTATAGTATACGCATGGATGCAGAGAGGAATAGATTATTCCTGAGCAACCTGCATATATTAACATATTATAATAACATTTTTGCTCCAAGGAAACTGACACTTCCCTTTCCCATACGCACATTGAGTGGTACCACAATCTTGCCTAAAAACATAGTGCTGGCTGAAACTTGCCCATCTTTAGGAACATGAAAAATCTACCTGTGCATCATCCGACAAAGCCATGTCCATGTTGTCGAATTACAACAGCGCGGACTACCGGGCCCTCTGGTTTAGTAAACAGGTCCACGTCCTGAAGGCGTGCTGAGTAAACAATAACATGCGCGCGCACGCACACACACAGTATCACCTGAGCCCTAAGAGAGAAACCTGAGCGCATGGTATTTTCTTACCAAAACGGTCGACGTGTTTTTTGTTTTGTTTAATATTGTGTGTCACGTACAGTATGCACTTTGCCTCATAGGTAAAGCGTAAAGAGTGGTACGAGAGTTGTACTCTCCCAGGTTCACTGCCGGTCACATATTACAACGGAGGATGGTGGAGCAGTGGCGGAGCAGTCAACGCACCGCGCTATGAATCCGCCCACCCGAGTTTGATTCCCAGCCATGGTTAGCATCAGTGGTGGGTGACAACTGAACCGGGTCTTGGGAAGCCCTCTCCGCAACCCCCACCCCTTCACCAATCCTACTGATGTATGGTCAGAACAACCCCATAATCAATATGGTGTGGGCAGGCCTCAACCAGCAGTGGGCTTGACAGAGCTGTAAATGATCATATATCGTAAATACATCCTAAAATCCAGGGACTTTACCTATACAGTAAATCTATTTAAAATAATGCCATTTTCAAAACTAAATAATGAGTAAAACCTCGGAGAGGGCAAACCGGCTTGGGTATGACCTGAGTCATTAGACCGGTTTGTGGCTGAAGAAATATAAAATAACAAGCAGATGCCTGCCTATTGTCTGAAACTTGACAATGAAAACGACCCGCAGACATGACTGATGGTGAGACGCGCAGGCTATGAGCAAGCCTGCGTCATCCATAATCTGAAAACATACGAGGTGGGTAGGCGTCATGAGGTTGTGCCGTCTTATTTCTGTGTTGGCCCAGGACGGAATATTAAATAAAGTAATGCAGGCAGGGCTTCAACTGATTGTACGTTGTCTCAGCTCAACGTACTGTATGTTGGACTTCTTTCGCACCGTACGTAGCCGACCGTGCTAATCGGAGCTCAAAGGTCTGACATTGACATTGAAGTTCTATTAAATACGCAAACAAAACAATCCACAATTATATTTCACAACTACAGTATATGAACTATGAGTTAAGTCAGAGGCGAATAATCCTGATTTGAAGCTTTCGTGACTGCAGGAATCCATACTGCTGGATTATTTTTTTCCGCCTGAGGACGACTGCTTGTGTTGCGACCGAAACTTCGTGATATATTATTATTTTTTTTTGTTTTATTTTATTTTTCTACCTACGTGCCTTTACCGAAATAACTAAAGAGTCAGAGACGAATAATTTTACGCTATTTTACAAGGCCATATAATATGTTATGAACTGCACACAAATGTTACGTACATTTTGTTTTTAATTTTCATTCTACAGGCTTACTATACTATATAATGAGCAGTAAAATAATATCACACATTGGTCATTACCTGTCACATTTTCACAGCTGGGAGATCGGTTTAAATTAAACTCTAGAGACCTACTATTCGATATGCGCAGTGAAATAATATCACCCACCTATCATTATCTGTCACAGTTTAAAAACTGTGGAATAATTATTGAATAATAATTTATTAAGAGCATAACATTCATGTACGCAGTAATAATATAACAAAGTTTTTTGGGGGAGTTAGATCGCGCAAATATAAATGTGTCGTTTATGCGATCTAACCCAGCAAACGTTGTTATGGATAGTATCGTACGTTTAAATATTAAACGGCAGATAGTCGACAAAAACAGCAAGTTGGGACTTACCTTCATTCTTTGGTTAGACATGGGTACGCTCCAATTGCGAACTTGTGTTTTGAGCCCAAGAGCATCTCTCGTCAATATATAAGGCGCGTGGCATACTCCCTGAACATTTTACGCCCCTTATGATGAACTTCCTTTTCGAAATAGCATGTAATTGGTAAGCCGGGTCACACAATAGCTCATTGGTCACCAGCAGTAGCCAATTGTGTCTTGTTGCCCGCAGTGGTATGCAAGTCTGAAAATTACGCAAGGCATAGACGTAGTGCGGTGTACTGCTCTAACTGGTCTTTCTTCTTAAAGCTTCAACTCAGTGTGCAACAGAGAGGCGGCGCCTGTCCTGTCAATAAACGCATCACATTCGCCAAAGGTTCATCACAAAATTAGAAGCATTAAATGTGAAACTTTGATGAGGCTGCACCACATTTTACTTCAATGCGCTTCAGAATAACTGACTGAAGTACGCAACGGATCAAGTTCACGTTTGGCCACTGTTGTCTCGTAAGGGTCTTCCTTTTACCATCGGCTGAAAACTGCATCTAAAAACAGCCGTGCACGACACTTTTGATGCGTTTTGCTGGGGGTGCCCAGTCTTGGGTATAATTATTTATCGCTGCGTGAATAAAACTAACGAGAGCTATTGTTTTCTCTTCTTTGAAAATACCATCGCAATACTTGCTGCCGGGTGCCCTTTTTTTGCACATCAAAGCAGCACGATGCCCCTTTTGAAACAAGAGTGGCCATGGCTCACGGAGATGAGAGACAGAGGAGAGGCGTTATTGTGTTTACACTCTGCAGCTGTCATCGGGGCCTCGTTTATGGCAGGCAAGCTTCGGTTTTCGCTCGAGAATGACTTACGGTAGATTGAGCCTCGCGAGTGAGCATATGCCCAATTTAGTTTATGTTCGTGAGTTGTGGCAAATGCTGAGCAGATCTGTCTTAAATTCAGCGATGCCCAGACTTGAGTTACAGGAGCAATGGATACACATATTTAGAAAGTAGGCGAGGGCCAAGGTAATTTGACTTACGTCAGATGTCTCAATGACCTGGATTTGGATTAACTGGAACACACGGATTAGCCCCCTGCTGTTCATCAATGAGTGCCAATGGATATGTAGTGTTCGCGTAGAAGTCAGGTCCCGGATTTAAGGTGAATGACATTGCCCCTTGCAGATAAGTGTTGCCAAGTGCGTAACTGCTCTCATTCTGGCCGAAAGGAAGGGCAAGAGTAATCCTAATGTGCCACGGAGGTTCCTCATGTTAAGTATTCGCTTCTAACAGCCAATATGGTCAGGTTCAACACACGGGCAAAAGCACATCCGAGGTTGCAATCGTGCCATTGCAGCATGCCATGTGTAGATTAACTAATTATGGGTTGTTGGCGAGGCTTATGGGTAAAAGCATATATAAACATAACTGTATTATGTCGTCACGTATAAAGTTCTGCTTATATATGTACTTTTTCCCCATAATGATCTACAACAATGCAGAATGGGTTTGTATAGAATATTGCTTTGTGCGTTGAATTTTTTTGTTTAAACTCAACACATTCGTCAACACGTTCGCGTTTAATAGGGAAGCATAGTTTACATCAAGTGCTCTCTCCAATAAAATATGGTAACCAAGGAGCTTTGGTTTAACAAGCTAGACTGTTGAACAAAACCCATAGCCCCAAAGTGGTCTTAAGTTTGCTAGCTTAATTAAATGCTGCTGGATGATATTAGTCTCGAAAGGCAGTAGGCCAGTAGACTGAAACATATTCTATCTATATGTGGGGAAAGAAGGTTCTGTCTGTGCTTTTACCCATAATGCTCCACAAAAACACATAGATTATCTACACATGGCATGCTACAATAACATCATTGCAACCTCGACTTTGAAAGAGCTTCATTATTGTCCT